TTATAGGTGTTAAGTTCCATACATTAAGATGTGTTCATGTACATGTTTATATGTAAATGTTTACGAGTACAGTATTCTGTTTAGGCTTTTATTGTGAAAACACCGGTAGGTCAGGAAGCGGGGTGCACATGTGTGGTTGTGAAGATGGCGGAAAAAGAATAAAGTTCAACGTTGAGCAAAGAAAGTGTATCGTACTGTTTAACAATAGGCAGCTACCTACTTATACTCACAGATGTTATTCCTACTGAGACTTTTATAAGCCAGTATACTCTGGCTCTTTGAGGAAGTGTTAAATTTGGTCTGAAATAACCCATCAAAGCTGTGACACCTGCCACTTAAAACCATATTTGTTTTGCACAGTATTTGGTTAGCATAAGATGTTACTAAGGATAAGAAATTCGAATGGCAGTTTGTGTTATATAATAAGTAAATAGCTGGATATTCTATATAAAATATTCTAAACATCACTTTCCCTCTCACAGCCAGCGGGTTTGTGTGGAATTCACCCGAGCAACAAGCCCAATCAGAAAAGTACTGCTTGTGTTGTCACCATTAGGTTTCTGCAGTCAGACAGCTTGATTCAGATTCTACTTCTCTTTTCTCAGAAAACTAAATCATCCTTGTATCTAATAAAAATACAGGAAACTCACATCTGTTTGAAATACAAAACATCCGATCATTGCTTTTAACTGAACAATCAGAATTACACACTGATTTTACACAAAACTATCAATACCTTAAAATTAAAACATGGATCTCTATTATTTTGAATACAACATTTGACTAAACATTGATTAGACAAAGATTAAACAGTAATTATCAATCAAATCTTTACTTTACTTTTTAGGCATAAAGCCATAATTTTTACAAACTCGGTGCCTGTTTTTATTTTTTATTTTTCTCTTCTTTCTCAGTCACACACTCGCACACACTCCCTGCACTTCTTCTTTGCAAGGATGTGTGTTACTTCCCTTTTCCTCTTTGACCATAATTTCTCACTCCTTAGATTAGATTAGATGTAAAATCACTTTTCATTGTTTTTTCCAATACCATAATTTCACATTTTTCTTACACATACACTGATTATTTCAAACAAAATGCGTACATAAATCATTTTATGATTATCCTTTGTTATTAAAAACTTAACTTTCTACTTTATGCTCTTTGCAATAGCATTTTAATAATTTTCCCCCCTCTTTCAGCTTCTCTTGCTGTCTCTCTTCTTCCTGGCCCAATCCAGCCTGTCATCTGTTCCCCACCAGGCATTTAGCACTCCTCCATTCCTTCCCATTTTCCAACCCTTTTTGCTGTTTCCTTCCTTTCCTTCAACATCGAACTCTGCCTGCCACTCATCCACCACCAGATAATCAACATCCTTTTCCATTTTTTTCCTGGCAGTAGCCTGCGGGTTCCATAGGGCTAGGTGTCATAGGAAAGTACAGGCCTCCCTTCAACTCCTCCACCGCCTCTTCTTCCACTTCCTCCACTGAGACATTCTCCGCTATTGGTGCAGTTCCTTCTGGCTCACACAGCTCATTTTCAGTCTCCTCTGGCCTATCTGTCATCTCCTTACATTCTCCATCATTTAGTGGCCATTCCCATAATTCTTGTAACCATTCTTGCTGTTCTTGTGGGACTTCTAACTGCAAAGAGACAATTTGTTCAGTAGCCTCCTGCAGCTCATCTTGTAAGGTCATTTCTGATATTGGGTCATCAAAGGTCAGTGCTGTGTCAGTGTGGCTTGTGTTTCCTGGGCTTTTTCCTGGTTCTCTCCGGGACCCATTTACAGCTTCGCTGACCTGAATACATGAGAGCGGGCATACCTGACTGTTTATCCTGGGCTTCTGGTTGGGGAACTTCCTGTCTTGTACAGTAGGCATGATGTTGTCAGCACAAGTGCTAATGTACCCGGTCACATACTCAGCATAGTCCTGTATGCTGACAGAATGGGAATGTCCACATGTTGGTAATATTTAGGAAATACAGTCTGTAGATTGCACTGGTTAAAGCTAAAGTCACTGGCGGTGATTAAAAACAGCCTCAGGATGAGCCACCTCTAATGTGCAGATGATGGCGTGGAGTTTGCTGAGAACTGCCATGGAATTAGCTTGTGGGCCTATATACACTGCAGCCAAAAACACACCGCTTAATTTTCTTGGTGGATAATAGCGATCGCATTTCAGCAATAATCTGGTGAACAGTGCTTATAAACAGTCTGTATATTTCCACACCACGAGTTGTTGTTAAACACACACACACATGCCTCCCCCTTTAGCCTTACCGGAGGCTGCAGTGGCGGATTCTGGGACTTTGTCTGAAAGCCAGGTCTCGGTGAAAATTAGAGCATCATACTACTTTCTTATTTCCCGCTGTGTACATCCTGGCTCTTAGCTTGTCCAGTTTGTTTTCCAGAGACCACACATTAGCTAGCAAGAGGCTGGGTAGCGGCAGTTGGCTAGTGCGAGCTTTTAGCCTAGCATAGAGCCCTCCACTCTTACCCCACTTGCGTCTCTGTCTTCGAAGCTCTCTCCTGCTGTCCACCTGCTCTCTCAAGCTCGGTGCTTTGGGGCCTTACTGGGGATGGTGGTGGCTGGAGCAGGAGCGAACAATAAGTTGTTAAGGGCATTCCTTTGAGGACAGTGAAGTCTAGATCTTCTCTGGAGAACACCACTGGTTTGAGAGAGGAGTCAAAGAAGCAATTTCTGTCCAAATAGAACACTCCTCTTTAAATACTGTAGGGGTGGTGGACTCACACACAACTCGTCATCCATCTACAACTCTGTTTTGAAATCTCTACCCAAACATTTTCACCACGATTCACACCAGTATAATAGATGTTGGCCCACATGTGAGGGTTCAAAAACAGGTAAGGACTCTCACTAATACAAGACCCTAATTGCTTGAGTCAGACTCAGAAGAATCATCCAGCCCAAATGTCAGTGGGGATAAAGCAGATGTTTTTTATAGAACAGTCTCAGTTTAAAAGTACAGATCCTCTGCAGTGGTGGAAAGCAAATGAGGCAGTTTTGGCAAAAGACTATTTGTGTGTACCTTCCACATCAACACTTTCTAAGCATCACCTTCTCTAAAGCTGGAAACAGTTTCTCAAGGAAAGAGCCTGCCTAAGTCCAGAACGTGTGCACATGTTGATGTTCTTACATTACAACACAAGTATAACACACATTTGGTTCAAATACATTCATGTGAAAGAGTCAGAGTTGTTAATTAGAAGCAATTCAGAGAACTCTGAAAAATAATTACAGTAAAATAAAAAGCTATTGAAACACTAGAAGTAAACAAGAGAAATGCATTTTTTGAAGAAAATGCGTGTGGATGCTGAGTGCTGAAGGATTGCCCTGAAAATGCTGAACATTTTGAGACATGAATGGCTCTTCTAGTTGAAAGTATGCTGAAGTAGAATTTTCCCATTCATTTGAATGGGGCAAAACTTTCAAAATAAAGCTAAATATTTTAAAAAGTATGAAGGGTAGAAAACTTCTGAATAGAAGCATAAATGCCCTTGAAGAGCTCAACATTTTGATACCTGAAATAGCTGAAAGTATGCTGAAGTAGTTTCCCCATTCATTTGAATGGGGCAAGATTTTCAGAATAAAGCTAAATATTTTAAAAAGTATAAAGAGTAGAAAAATTTTGAATAGAAGCATGAATGTCCTTGAAGAGGTGAACATTTTGATGCCGGGTCACAACACAAAATACCAAAACCAAATAATGCTTGAGAGTCAGAGCTGGAGTCTAGAACAATCTGGCAGCGTCCTGAGGGAGGATGCTGCCTCAATAGAGGTGAAAAACAAGTGCAAACAATAAGGATATTTCAGAAAATGAAGGCGATGTGATGATTTACAAATGCCCTAACTTTTCCTTCAAGCGGATTTTCTGAATCGTCTTTTTGAATGGCAGTCTATGGAAGAGTGAGGCGGCACTCTCTCTGGAATGTGCCACATAATCCAAAAACTTTTCATCCTATTGCAATAACAAGGCTGATTCCTTACAATTTTCTCTACCATTTTCATGTACAAATTGTGTGTGAAAGTTTAAGGTTGGCAGAATAACAGCGGAAAACAAGCTGAAAAATTGTGAAAAGGCTGAAGGACAGAGCTAGAGTGCGGGTCATGTGACACTCTAGCAGAGAAATTTCTAAAATCACCATAAAACAAACTGCAAGAATTCTAAATCTGTAAAAGATATCAACAAGCTGAAGAGTTGCTGAATTGTTTAAAATTGGAATGGTTTTTCTATCTTAAACTATGCTGAACTGGTTAAGGCTGAAAGAGGAGGATTTGAAGAAATTAAATGCCAAAAAATGTATGGAAGAAACCATAATAATAAAAATAAAATAAATTAAAAAAAGCCATAATAATAAAAAAATAATAAAGACCAGGATAACAATAGTGTGGCTGCTGACTCAGTATCCACACAAATATTCAGGAAAGACTAAGAATTTCTATACCATAGAAAGAAAGTCACTTTCAGCATTTCCTGTTTAGGGGTTGCCACAGCGAATTGTCACACTGACGACTTGCATGTTGACATTTGGCACGTGGTTTACGCTGGATGCCCTTCCTGATGCAACCCTGACTTAACTCGCAGAGATAGAGCCTGTAAAAACAGTGATTCAGTAAGAAATTTGGTCAGGATTCAAATAATCTTGGTGTATTTAAAACAGCATTGATCATCATGTAGGCTATAGACTCCCTCAGTTTGTAAGGAACTCTGCTTTAAACCAGAGTGACCCATGAGAGCCTGAAACACCGCAGTGATATGAATGATATATAGAAATATCTATTTATTAGCCCATCTATCAAATTAATGTGGTAAGAAGGCTAACCGTAGTAATCTAGCCCGATTAAAAGTGAGTCAGCTTTGTGGTACCGGAAAACATGAGCTGAGCCCAAAGTTAGCTGGATAAGCCATTAATCTTGTTTGGTGGTACATGCTCCAGGTCTCAAACTGTGTTGTTTATATGACCTTTGTGTTCACAGACAAGTGTTATAAGGTCCATGAGAAGATGCCTTACAAATGGGAGGTCCAAGAGGGTGATCAGTGGACCGCCTTGCCTGATAATGAGACAATTGAGAAGGACTACTGTGACCCCAAAAACACATACAGGTACTATCCAGTAGGGAAGCATTTCTGAAATCTTGGGAGATTTTACTCTTAAATTCAACCATGTCGAGGTTTCTAGGTAAACATAGCATTTTAATGTCAGATCCAGAATAAGCAGCACTTCTGCTCATAATTGTGCCTTATAAAAATGTCATTTATTCATAAAGTTGAGCAAATCACAAGAGACAAACTGAAAAAAGAACTGTCAACATGATTCCAAGATATCTTTATCTTCATCTCTGAAAATATCCTCTGACATTTCCCAGAGCCTCTGCTTCTTATTGTATATTAGTTTGAGATACCAAATAAATTGCCTCTGACAGCCACCACTGTAACCAAGTTAACACAACTTATATGAAGATGGGAACACTAAAGGGGGAGGCGTTGGGCAGACAAACACCGTTACACTCACTGGAGACTACTGGACTTCTTTCAGTAATCACAGTTCAGGGTCTTTTTAAGATACATTTAGAACCAGTGGTAGAAGTACTTATATCCTTTACTGAAGTAAAAGTAGCAATACAACTGTGTAAAAGTAAAAGTCCTGCATTCAAAACATTATTTAAAGAGCACATGGCATGTTCATTTCCAGCAATTTAATGTTTAATCTTTGGTACCTCTAGATTAGCTTTGCACCTATCATAACTCCAAATAGTCTGTGATTAAGTCAGAACAATAAAACCAGAGCCTCTTCCTAAAAAACATAAAGATTCCTGGACATGCTTTAACCTCAGGCCCTGTATTTTTCTCCACATTCTCTGGTCACAATGCAGGCAGTAGGAGGTAAAATACATCCACAAAACCACGCACAGTCAAAAAACTCCGCTTTTACAATGGATGTCAAGCAAGCTCACATGAACGTGCAACTGCCTGGAGATTATTACCATTCAAGAAAATCCTTAAACTATCATGTAACACTTAATTTTGTTAGAAACAAAGTCTTGTGAGCAAGTTTTCAAGACTTGTATAAACCGAGTTGCTTTTGTGTAGAAGTACTAGAACATAGGTACACCTCATTTTTTGAGCTTTAGGTAACGTCTAAGATTACTTTAAGTAAAAGTACAAAAGTATTCACATCAAAACATACTTATTGGTAAAGGATGAGCTACCTTTAACTACCTTAGATGCATTTAATTGAGTTACTGCTCGGTAGCTTGTGAATCTTTCACCATAGATCAATGAGGTCTTAATTATACTGTATTTTTTGTATTCATCTGGTTCTGAAAAGTTTTATAAAATAAATGTAGTGGAGTATAAAGTACAGTTATTTTCTATTTCATTTTCTGTTACTTGATACTTCATAAGTACAGTAGATACCTCAAATTTGTACAGTACTTGACTAAATGTATTTACCTTCCTCTCCTGTTCAGAACAGATAAAAAGCGTGATTAATTTGCAATTGGTCGCAAATTAACTATGGACAATCGGGATTAATCAGGATTAAATATTTTAATTGCTTGACAGCACTAGTATAAATCAGTTGGACATTAGAGACATTTACCCCTTGATGAATGGGGTGCAAATTGTAAAAATAAATGTATATGCAGATTTAACTGTTCATGCTATACCTACAAGAAATGATGGGTTTTTATATATTTATGTAATTAAGTTATGATCTGGAAAACAGAACAGTTTTTTGTTGGAAACTGAAAAACTCAATATTGATGTTTCATTGAACTAATGTATTGATGTCTCAAAAAATAACTTAATTTATTAGGTTACTTAAAAAGTAACCTAACCTAAAAGTAACCTACTTAAAAAGTAACCTAATAACTAATAACATCATTACGATAAAAGTGAGTTGTTTGAATTAATACTTACTTATTTTCCTGTCTTTAGTAGTAGCAGCCTGCCTGTGTATTTTGACACAATGACCCAGGGAACCAACAAAGTACGACGACTCTCTACTGAGAACTCTTTGCTTGCACCAACCTTCATTTACACCACCGAGTGGCTTTGGTACTGGCAAGATGAGTTTGGAAAGTGGAACCTGTACGCTTCAGCTGTGAGTACCTGGTCATCATTTTAGTCTGTTTTAATGGTGACAGGAATGTTCACTGGTTGTCACAATTTGGAGCATGATATAGACCAGTTTTTAAAAAGGGGGACCGGAGGGTGTGTTCCAACTATAGGGGGGATCACACTCCTCAGCCTCCCCGGGAAAGTCTATGCCAGGGTACTGGAGAGGAGAATTCGACCTATAGTCGAACCTCGGATTCAGGAGGAACAATGTGGTTTTCGTCCTGGCCGTGAAAACACTGGACCAGCTCTATACCCTCTTCAGGGTGGCGGAGGGTTCATGGGAGTTTGCCCAACCAGTCCACATGTGTTTCGTTGATCTGGAGAAGGCATTCGACCGTGTCCCTCGCAGCACCCTGTGCAGGGTGCTCTGGGAGTATGGGGTCCGGGGCCCTTTGCTAAGGGCCGCCCGGTCCCTGTACGATCGGAGCAGGAGCTTGGTTCGCATCGCCGGCAGTATGTCAGACTTGTTTCCAGTGCATGTTGGACTTCGGCAGGCCTGCCCTTTATCACCGGTTCTGTTCATTATCTTTATGGACAGAATTTCTAGGCTCAGCCAGGGGCCGGAGGGAGTCCGGTTTGGGGACCACAGGATCTCGTCTCTGCTTTTTGCAGACGAAGTTGTCCTGTTGGCCCCATCAAACCAGGACCTCCAGCGTGCACTGGGGC